GTAAATATTAAAAGCTCAATGTGGGTGTGTGTAACAATGAGATTAATCAAATCTAAACTCAATATAAAAACTAGCTTTAATAAAATGATAATCAAAACAAATAGATATGAAGCTAGAAATAGAGTTTAGAAAACTTCTCAATAGATCAAGAGGAAGAGGAAGAATGGTTGGATGCTCAAGCACCAATGGTTGATCTCCTCAAGCTCTTGTGGAAGTGATTCACAAAACCAAAACACTCAAATGCTTAAAAGATTCTTAAACCAAACTTAAACAAATACTAAACAAGTTTAAACCCTTGTTAAACTATTTTAAAACATTCTCTTATTAGATGGAGAGCTGAAGACAAAGGGGTATTTATACCCACTCAAAAACTCAGCCAAAACCCTAAGGGAAAAGACCAAAAGCCCAACAGAATTAGAAATCGGATTCTGTACAAACTAGCCGTTGGGCTGAACGGCGGGCGACCGCGAGCAACAAAAACCACAGAAAAAGCTCAAAAGTCTTCGGCGGTCGACCGTGGGAAATCTCGAGTTCACGGTCGACCACGGCGGTCGACCGTGAAAGTCTCTGTTGCCCACTGACGAAAGAACTCAGGCGCGGTTGACCGGGGAGGTCGACCGCAAACTGATATATGAAAATAAAGTTCTGAAAACTGTTTTTCTGATTTTAAAACACTGTTTAAAAATATCAAATAAATTCAAAAAAATATAAAACTTTGGAAAATGATTGTAGACATGATAATAAATATGTTACAATGACTGGTTTCCAAAAAGAACTTCCCAAATAAAAAATATCATCATTTTACAAAATGGTCTAAAACATGAAAATATAAACATGTGAATTTTGACATTTTGGCTAAACCATATTTTGAAACTTTACAAAATAATTTTATAGACTTGAAGAAAGATGTAAACTATTGTTATAAAGTCTATAAACCACTACAAGAAATACTGTATTTAACGACCAAAATTAGTAAAGGGATTAGTTGTTCGTCGTTAATGTGCATATAATAACGACGGGTTTTTAAAGCCTTCGTCAAGTGATTACAAATATTATAGGAATGATGTGAGATGGGTAACGATTTTCTAGTCCCTTCATTAATTTGTTCCTAATATCGTCGTTATTGGGTCTTATTAAAGACGAAGGGGTCCATTACCTTCATTAATCTTAAGTTCCTAATGATAATAGGAATAGTAATATTAATTAATATAAATAACCGAACCCAAATCATATTCTAACAGCAACAATTTATATGTATTTAACTAAACCCTAATTTAATTTTCATAACTACTGTTTATATCACGTTTTATTAAACCTTATCATCATCTTCAAAATTCACCGCCGCCCTGTGCCAACGCCGCCAACCCCAGCGCCGCCTCTGCCTCAGCCCGCCCCACGCTGCTGACCCTCTACCGCAGCTACCGACCCGCGCCCGCCATGCCATCCCGCGCGCTCAGGGAGAGTCCCATCACGTTCGTCCACCGAGTGGAGATCGTCGCCGCGCTCCCGTCCGCCCCAGCAACGTCGTCGCTCGCCCAACCTCGCGCCCCGTCGTCGGCGCAGGGCCCAGCACCGCCTAATACCGAACCGCGGCCACCGCTCAGGAGAGACTGCCCATCAACGTCGTTGCCCGGTTGGAGTATCGTCGCCTCGCCGCTCCGCCGCCGCAAGCAACTCTCGTCGCCCCGCCAACCTCGTCGCCCCGTCGTGTCCCGGCGCCGGCCAGCACCGCTCCGCTCCGCGCCCAGCAACCTCGCCGCTCCGCGCAGAACAACGTCCGTTCCGGGCTTCGCCCCAACAACTTCATGTATTTGTGATGATTTATCAAGCGTATAACCACTTTGCTCTGTCAATGGATGTGAACAGCTTTACGTTTTCGGCGAGATTTTTTGTTTTCTTTTTTCTGTCCTTTGATATTAAAATCTTTCTGGGTATTGCACAGCTTTGAACCATGGGCAAGTCCAGCTATATACTCTGGCTGTATGGACTTTAATGTGATATGTGATGTAATTTTAAGTAGTATTTAAGGTTATTTTATTTATGTTCTTATTATTTTGTGGCTTTTTCTCATATCTCTTGGATTTTGTTAATGTTTTGGACTTGTTGCCAAATTTGCAGCGTTGCTGGGCACTCCTGTCACGACGCTGTAAGGATCTAAAAAGCGGTATATTTTGTTCCTTAGTTGCTTATCCGTTATTGTATTTAGTGATAACTGTTTTATTTAAAATATTTCTTATAAAACAAGATGATTGGCCTTGCTATTCGGTAACAGTGGGCTAAGAGGGATGCAGGGAGCTTTGGAGAATTGGCGAGCGCCAAGAAGCCTTAAGAGGAAGGCAAGTTAGGAGGTTAGAGAAGGTCTCCCCTCCACAAAGAAAAGAAGACGTCCCATTTCTTCAGAAGAAGAAGATTCGTCGGTCAATGGATGAGAGTAATGCATTAGTTTTACATATTGTTCTTCATTGAGCTATAGCATGCTCGAAATTGGTTGAATTTTTTACGCGCCAGCTTAATGTCTTTTGTGGTTCATTTTCTTATAGGTAGGTAAAATTTCAAATTGACATAAAAAAATCTATTGCCCTCTACTTTTCTATTTGTATTTCAAAAAGGTTTTATCCTGTTGAATGTTTAAGTAATCCTAGCTGTAAGCCAAAGCTTTTTGAATCGAGATGATTTGTACGACGCTTCGCACTACATCTGTCATAGCTTCGTACAAAGGTGCGATGAGAGAAAGAGAGATAGAAGAGCAGAAGAGAGGCCATCACGTGGACCGAGGATGCAGATAGAATAGGAGTGGGAAAGGATCAGGCGATAACGGTACGCGGGGATGCGCACCAGGATCTTCAGTGGTTGTGATAATAGTAAGATGTTGCTGCAGTCGTCGATTAAGTTATGTTGACAAATTTAGCTACTTTCTAAACTAAATTAAATCAATTATTAATTATAATCAGTTAAGCCTACCTTCTCATTACGATCTCGAGCTATCGTATATCTTTTTTTCATTTGCATGCACCTTAATTTAGTACTTGTCATGATGCTGTCACTTACAAGAAACCTCTCATAGGACAGTCCATAAGTCAAGTGATAGCTATTTCAAGAGTGATTTACTGACAGAAGATGCAAGACTTGGTTTTTCTTTGAACCTTTCCCCAGGAATCACAAATCGTTCCCTTGTTGAATATTCATTATAGGATATTATGTCTACTAGTTGAAGCCATACACACACGATGTGACTACCACACGGCTGCCGCGACGGCTAACGCACGCGGATCAGGGTCGCCGCTCTAGCCGAATGTCGCGCGGGGAAACATGGTGCGTTCCGTCGTCGCAGCTCCCAGCCGAGGACGCGGGCTGGCCACAGGACCCATCTTAACACACATAATATAACCTAACCTAGATTACCCAAGCCGATCTTGATCTTCAATAAGCTTGACTTTGGTACACTTTGCGGTCGAAGCTTGAACTTGATCTTTAACTTGAATTGTATGTTGCCTTCACTCCACAATTCCGGGCCAACCTCCATTGATATCGTCGTTGAAGGCGCTAGTTCACATCCATTCTCCACAACAACGTTGTGTCTACATACATAATTAATGCCCACAAACACTAGACAAACAATTAGGTAGTAAATGTTTTGTACATCATCATCAAAACAAGAAGGCCCAACATATCTTCTGGCTCCTGTACGATTCGAACTGAGAGCTGCTCATTCTCTCCTCATAATCTTGACGTATAGCCTAGACAAAATTAGGAGTGACGGTCAGCGTGTGGACAACCACCGCCAAGATCCCCCAACAAAGGCAAACACAAATACAATAAACAATCAATGCATGAATATTAATGCCGCGTGGCCCAATGCGATAGCAGAAATTTAAAAATAGAACATGTGATTGATAGTAATAACGATACGAGGCCCAGCCAACTAGAATACTAGAGTTAACAGATGCATCCAAAATCATACCAAATAACAAGATCATGCCAGGTCTAGCGATCAGAAAACTATCCAAACAAAAAAACCATACAATAGGATGGAATTAATATTTAATAAATCTAGCAACAAGATACGTAGATTACGTTCGACGCCGGACAGATAATCCAAACAATTGGGGGGGGGGAACCACAACCCTTATGTAATATACCATATGTCTCAAAAGTTATTAGATAATTAATAACATAATCACGATCTATATATGAAAGGAGTACAACCGGCCTATATCTCACAAGAATCATACTTAGCAAGAAATCGATGTCATGTAAACTACACTCATCACATCACTCATCTCAAATAATTCACAATCTCAATATCCTGCCTCCTCAGACCCACCCCAGGCCAAACAAGACGCTGGCTGTGAGCCCTGGAAAATAAATAATAATCTCGATATCACCTCACCTCAGACCCACCCCAGCCGAAACAAGACGCTGGCGTGAGCCTTGGAAATACATCCACAACAATCACATATCACGATACCTCAGACCACCCAGCCAAACATACACACACCCCCTTGCGCGAGCCTGGAAAACAATCAATAATCATAACCGTCACTGGACCAAGACTTCTCACCTTAATTCTCGTAATTTCCCAAGTCATCTATACATGAGATTCTAGCATCCCTAACTGTGTCATTATCCAGATCACTTATAAATTATGTTACTCCTCAATGACAGTCTCAACACTGGAATAATAAATGTAATACGCTAAAGTGTCAAAGTGCATTGAAAGCTGTGAACACAGGGTCGTTGATCACATGCAAGAAACATACGAGAACACAAGCTATATTAACATGATGCAAGAGAAAACTACC